GACCCGAAACGTCAACTTTCCTGCTCCTCTGATGCTGCCTGGCCTGCTGTGTTCCTCCAGGTCCACACTGTGTTATCTCTGTTCAGAAATCAGAAGAGCACTCTTACTTTGAAGGTATCTGCGATAGAACCATGATGAACCTTGCCAGGAAGAGGTCAATGCAACACTACTGTACACTGCAATGAAGGAAAATCCCAGATCAACTCCATCACTGGTGGTGAGCTGCCTGTTTCAGACCTTCAGGAAGTAGACAGTGTGCAAATGGGGAGCAGCACTGCTATGTTCAGGCTGGGATGGGAGGGTCACCTTATACAAAGCCCCACAGGATGACTGTCACCAATCATTCCTGCTAGAAATGTACCTGCAGGCTTTGAGGATAATGGGAATGGCTTGACACCTCAGGGATACCACACTTCTTTAGGCAGGTCACTGACAACAGAAGGTTGACAATGTTCCAAATGATGGTCCCTTTAAGAATAAACCAGGACATGCTGAAGAGATAGCAGAGAGCAGTTCATGTTCATTGGAGCCTATCTTTAAGGAGCAGGTTTCCTGAAGGGGCTCGTATCACAGTGGCAGTGTCCCTACCTCTGAGCCAAGAGGTATGGTTTCAATTCCCATCTGTTCCAGATGTCAGTCATAACATCTCTGAACAGGTCCATTCAGTAAACATATCAGGAATTAGCAATCAATTGTAGAAGAGGAGTGAGTCAGTTAGCTCAGTTGGCTGGACAGCTGGTTTACGACACAGGGTGATGTTAACATTATGGATTCAATTCCTGCACCAGCTGAGGTTACCATGAAGGGCTCTCCTTCTCAACCCCTCTCTTCACCTGAGGTGTGGTGACCCTTAGATTAAACCACCACCAGTTGTCTCTCTCTAATGAGACAGCAAAGGACTTATTTATCTTTTTCTTTAATCTAAAAGGAAAAAAGGGTTGGCCTCCCTGAGACAGGAGGCCTGGGTTCAAGTCCCATGGGATGCAGCGGTGTGTCAGAACAGGATGATTGAATAAAAATGGACTGGGTTTCCCTGGTAAAGGGGTGTTGGTCAGGAATGGGACTGTTTGTTTTAGAATTGTATCAAATTACAAAATTCAAATAAGCAATCGTGAAAGACAGACTGACTCCTGCTTCGGTAAATGGATGAATAGGGTTTAATAAAATGCAGCCAGCTGAGAAAATTACAGTGTCCATAGAACCAGGAAGGGCAGAATGGGGGAGGGGAAGAAAAAGGGGAACGGATGAAGGAATGGCAAGCAAGCAAAAAGCAGTCTTCCTTCCTAATTGACCATGGCTTTGTGTTTCTGTAGGTGTCAAAGCACGGGAAGGCTCGACAGTGTCAGAGTCCTGCTCTGATCCATTAAGGTCACTGCCCTGAAACTCTGCTTCTCTCCCCAGAAACCGCTGGACCTGCTGAATTTCTGCAGCACTTCCACATATTATTTCTGATTTCCAGATTCCACAGCATTTAGTTTGTGGTGCAATGTATCAATGCAGCCAATTTTAAAAAGCTGGTTCAATGCAATCAGTAGCCAAAACTTTTGTTCACCAACACATTTACCTGATACTTCATGTACAATTTAAATCTGCTCAGAAAAGAACTCAAATCTGCATAGAATCACCATTGAAGAGAATTATAATAAGATTCGGCCTGAGCAGGTTAATGTATCATGTCTGTTGTAAACTGATTGCCTCTGAGAGGAACTACGTTTTATTCCTATTACCCCACTATAGCAGTGAAACCTTCAGCTGATTTTAACTCATAGAATCCCTACAGTGTAGAAACAGGGCATTCGGCCCATCAAGTCCACACCAACTCTCTGAAGAGAATCCCACCCAGACACAACCCCCTACCCTATTCCCGTAACCATGTATTTCCAATGGTTAATCCACTCAACCTACATATCCCTGGACACCACAGGCAATTTAGCATGGCCAATCCACCCTAACCTGCACATCTTTGGACTGTGGGAGGAAACCGGAGTGCCCGGAGGAAACCCACGCAGACACAGGGAGAATGTGCAAACTCTATACAGACAGTTGCCTGGAGACTGGAATCGAACCTGGGTCCCTGGTACTGTGAGGCAGCAGTGCTAACCACTGGGCCACCGTGTCAGCCCACGGGTTGTTTTCTTACGCTCACCATTTCAGCTCCTGAAAACTGGAATGGCTGCATTGCAGAAAAACCCTCCATCAAATTTCGCAAACAAATTTGGACACAGCATCTTCATATCGTGTTGAGCAAAGGGCTAATATTCACATTGACTCTAAACTGGGATTATTGCTGCTGCTAATATGGATTGTGGTTGAGCAGTAGGAATTTTGCATTAGTGGGAAGGATGTTTTTTTACGACAGAACATGACTCAAAGCCAAATCTAACAAAAATCTACATCACTCACAAAGTGGAATATTACCCTTCTCCAAAATGAAGTGAATAATACACAAAGTCCAAGCAGTAATAGCTAAGTTTTGCATTTCCTGGTTTTTGTGATTATATTAACACAGCACTGATATTTTACACAGCCACTCTGACTTGATTCCACAATGGTGGAAGCACTTGTCTTTCACATTCTCCAATCCCCAGAAATGTTTTTCACTGGTCTAGAAGTCAGTGGAGTTACTCTGCCTTTTGTAGTGCACTGCCACTGACCAACAGTTGTTGCCAATGTACCAGGAGTGTGGGCAGGATCCACAGGAAGAAAAAAGGATGACTTCAAGGACAAGGGAACAACCTGTCTATATCACAAGTGTGATTACTAATGTATTCAGAGATCGCTGGAACCACCTTCTATTTGCATTCAAACAAAGGCACTTAGAAATGTGTAGCATTCTGCAGGACGTTGGGTGTAACTTGGAAGTGAACAGATTGAGAGGAGGTACCTGTGGCGGGAGCTCTCCTCCATACTTCTTCCACGAGATCACTGGAGATGGCTGCCCTCCAGCTCGACAGTACAGTCGAACAGTGTCACCCTCTGGTACCTCTATCCGCTGTGGACTGACCTGTACCTGAGGCAGGTTACCATTACCTAGAGACAGGGAGGTGACATTGCAATTAAAAAATTCACATACACAATGCACATACACAAATTACTATTCTTGGAATTTAAAAAGCGTAGAACAACAAGATCTTGCAACACTTTGTGTGGCCGGAAAAATTCAATGATCCTCCGACTCACTTTGCAATCAGAACCTTAGGATAGGTAAAGGCATGTACACTGCTCAACGCTCATTACTAACTGAGGAATATATCTTCAGTCTTCTCCATAAACACCCTCGATTCACTGAGGTTCTTCTCCTTGCACAGTACACATCAACAACTAAGCCAGAGGCGGCTCTTGTGGCGCAATGGTAGCATCCTTATTTCTGAGCTGGGAGGCCCAGATTCAAGTCCTACCTGCTCCAGAGGTGTGTATTAACATCTCGGAACAGAATAATTTGAAAATATCTATATCCACTTTGGTCTTAAAATATTCAAGAACGAAACTAAATCAAACTGATGAATTGCTTCCTATAGTGTAGCAGCAAGTTCAGAAATGTGTCTATCAACTTTTAAAATATTAAAAACCGGGTTAAATTGCTTTCCTAAAAAAGACTTAATTTCAACATTTATAAATAACCTAGTTCAAACCCCTTTCCAATTTAACGTTTTAAAGTAATGACATCTTATTTGATAATAACAATATACACTAATCATAAACACATGCAATAAATGCTACTAGATGCACATTTGACAGAATATATGTTCTATCTCTCAAGTCTACAAACTCAGACACATTTACTAATCATTTATGGTTAGCTTGCTGGTTGCTAGTAAAAGAATTTGAATATTGCCAGAGTGACAGAGCAAGAGGAAAAATGACAAGTTGTGCAAGAAAGTTCAACTGGGGACAGGTGAAGTCAAGTACACGCAAGAGCAAAAGAAATGTTCTAGTCAAGGTGTACTGCAGCAATGCAAATTACATTCTTCCTTCAAACTGTCACAGACCAAAGCAATGACAAAGGTTAGACCTATTCATTGGAGCTGAAGAGTGGAGTAGAATGTGGGGTGACCTTATTGAAATGTTGGAGATGGTGTGGGGCTGGGGCTGGGGGGCGTTGGCTGGTCAGGGTGGCTGCTGAGAAGATGCTTTCCTTCATGTGTGAATCTTGAACTAGGGGGCACAACTTAAAGGGGATCTCCCATTCAGGATGAAGATGAGAAGAATTTCTTCACCCAGCATGTTCTATTCATTAGGCTCAGTTAGCTTAGTTGGCTGAATGGCTGAATTGCAATGCAGAGCGAACAAGTTTGCTCAATTCCTGCACTGGTTGAGATTACCAGGAAGGATTCTCCCTCTCAACTTCTCCTCCCAGTGTGCAGTATGGTGACCCTCAGATTAAACCAGCACCTGTTGTCTCTCTCTAATGAGAGAGCAGCCACATGGCTGCCATGGTGACTTTCTCTTTAGTCTTTGTAATTTTCTTTCCCCCCCCAGAGAGGCTTGCGACTGCGTCATTGAACATATTAAAGGCTGAATTGGATAGATTTTGTGATCTACAAGGGAGACTAGGAATACTTAGGGGAGTGGGTTGATGATGTCAGGCTAGAAACGTGAAGTTAAACCCACAGTCCCTAGTCATCCTGAATGGCAGAGCAGGCTTGATGGACCAAATGGCCTGCTCCTGCTTCGAATTCTTATGGTCTTATAACCTTTCATTCCAGTTATTGTTCAAAGTTCTAAAGTAACCCTGTCCTCTATGCAATGGCACAGTGAAAAAGGAGGTTCAATGATTAAGGAAAGACTTATTGTTGCCTTTATATTTTAAGCGTGAAAATTATTCAAATTTTTTAAAATCTTCGACCCTGTCCTCATTTCCAATGAACAATCTTTTATTCTTCATTTCAAGGTGGTGAAACAAAGCGCTGAAATTGTAACTCTCATTATAATTTGGACTGTTGTGCAGCTCAGTGATAAGTAAATTAACTCAAACATCAGGAAAATAGGGCTCTGCTCTACCATTCACTTAGATCATGGCGTCACTCTGCCTAACCTCCACTTCCCTACTCCGTCCCATACCTAAGTCTTAAATGGGTGACTCCTTAACCTAGGAGCAATGCTCCTTGCTTGTAACTCTCTAGCCAGAAGAAGCAATCAGATGAACTGTTAGTTTTCTAACTCCAGCAAACATTCCAGTCGGTCTATCGTCAGAGAACGACTCTCTTGCCCTAGAATGCGGCGGCATGGTGGCTCAATGGTTAGCACTGCTGCCTCACAGCACCAGGGACCTGGGTTCGACTCCAGCTTCGGGCAACTGTCTGTGTGGAGTTTGCACATTCTCCCCGTGTCTGCGTGGGTTTCCTCTGGGTGCTCCAGTTTCCTCCCACAGTCCAAAGATGTGCAGGTTATGTGGACTGGCAATACTAAATCACCCATAGTGTCCAGGGATGTGCAGGCTAGGTGGATTAGCCATGGGAAATGCAGGGATACTGGGATAGGGGAGGGGGTGAGTCTGGGTGGGATGCTTTTCAGAGGGTCGGTGTGGACTCGATGGGCCAAATGGCCTGCTTCCACATTGTAGGGATTCTATGATACTAATGATCTGATATTGTGCCTGATGTTAACACAATCTGCAAGGTCTGGGACTTTTGACCTGATTTTTTATTCTGGCCCTTGAAAATAATAGTGTGGTTCAGGGAGGGGAACAAAAGATAACACACTACAGATTAATGCCTGGAGCTGTTTTCAAAGTCATACAACTCACAATGGAATGAATATATCTTTAAATGAGACAAAAATTATCAAAATGGCTGTGACATATTCTCCTGACTAAGGGGTTTACTCAGTTAATTTGCTCATTAACAGGATCAGATCCAAATCATCCATTCATAACCACCTTGGTATGATGAATTGTTAGAATTAACGCAAAACAAATTGTTTCACCTGTCTACACAACAGAGTAAAACTTAACTTAGATTTACAGAAAGACTTAAGATAAAATATGCCTTGTTTGGTTTTATGGAATAGATTTCATAAAATCACTCTGTGTACATGTGGCAGAAACGGTAAGCAGAATACCGCATGATGCTTTCAGTCGTAATGGGAATAAGTCCATGTGATTATCTTCAACTGCTTTGAAAGCAGTGATTTTATAAAATAGGATGTTACAGGCTTCAAATCCATGGGCGTTTCCATGGAAAAAAAATTTAGAGTGAGTTGTCCAAAGACAGGAAGAAGGAATGCAGACAGTTTTGGTTACACAATTTAATTGTATTATAGCAGATAGTCCATAAAATCAACAGTGCTCATTCCTTTTCATTATAGCCATGCCAAATCTAATCAATCTAAAATGGACACCGAATTCTCGTTTGCGTATGGTAGCATTGCCTGACTGCACAAGCATCTTTCTGCAAATAGAGAGATTGTCTCCTTCCCAATAGCTGTGTGGACTTATTAGTAATTTTATCTTGACCTGAGCTATCCATTAGTCCAGTGAAGCCTGCTTATCAAATAGCAATTATCACCATAAAGATATGCTTTGTAATTTTCTTCATTCTGTTCAATTTGTAAGATACAATTTCATTTATTTATTGAGTGTGGGAGGTCTGTCATGGAAGAGAATTTAATTAAGTCTGTAAAACCATTCTGCAAATTTCCTTGGACTTTGTTTGCAATGCCTTTTTTACTCCAAATCTGATGCCCACATCCTAAATTGCACGAAGCCCTGTTTGTCAATCCCCTGCATGCTCTGCTGGCTGCTGAGGTTTACCGCTACCTCAAATTTAATATTCCTAACCTTGCTTCAGATGCCTCCCACCACCTCAAACCTCCTCTTCCCTGCATCCTACTCCAAACTTACAACTTTGAGATTTTTGGATTCCTCCTAATTCTGATCTCCTGAACAATCTGCATTTCCTTCATCCACCATCAGCAGACAGGCCTTTATTTGTTTTGGTCTTTAACCCTGGAAATCCATTCCTAAATCTTTCCATCTCATCTCCTTTCCTTAACGTGCCCCTCTTTGAAGAAGTTTTGGTTTCCTGAGATCTCTGTGACTTATTGCTGTCAAATTCTGACAGAAAGCATTCCTGTGAAGTGCCTTGCAAGGTTTTACTACTGAAAGGATGCTATGTAAATACATCTTGTTGCTGTACACATGGAAATCAATAAACTCTCTGATCTGTTCTCACCTGTTTTGCAAAGATTAGAGGTTGCTTTGAATCTTATTTTCAGTGTGGCCCAATAAGAATTGGAATAATTAAGGGGGTAATTTTTTTCAGCTTACATTTGTCCTTCTCTTGTACAAAACAAACTTTTGCCTTTTTTTTAAAAAAAGGGACGCTGTAGGGTAGTTACTCTTGTGATTTCAAAACCACAATGGCCCAATACAGTATTAACAAATAGCAAAGCAATGAGAATAGGCTGCTATTCAAGTGGGAGTCTTGTTGAAATAACTTACTGAAAGGCAAACAGCCAAGAGACTGCAGAGATAATCCTGCTAGTGACGGAGTTAATTAGCTCTTTTCATGTTGCTTTGTAATGCCCATTTAAGACGAATTTGTTTCTACAAAGGTTTAGCACTGGAATTGGAAATGACACCCACTTTAACTTACATACCTGTGATGCACGTAGGGAACTGCATGTATTAAAGTGCAGATGTCACCTGTGACTAAACAAAATCACAGCTATATAAAAAAAGAGGGAGAACAAAACTGAAAATATAGGATGTGCATTTCCATGATTCTAATTTATGTCACTGAATCTCAAAGAGAATAATTAATCAAATCTCTTTGGGGTAAAGGACGGAAATAAATATGGTTATGTTTCTTGATTTCTTGAGATTCTTACTGAAGATGAAATACATTATCAAGGCCTCCAGCATATCA